GGGGCCGGGGCCGAGGCCGGGGCCGGGGCCGCGGGGCGCGCGGCCGCCCCCTCCCCTGCTCGCCCCTGCGGAGCCTGTGCTGTGCAGGCAGTGACAGCGGCGAGAGGGAGCGGAAGACATTAGGAGAGCGCGGTGCCGAAAAATGGGGGAAAAAAATTAATATAAATTCACCCCGCGGCGCAAACCGGCCGAATTTCGCACAGAAATTTTCCCCGCGGAGCCGGCTACCCGAGGGGTGTCCCCCGGAGCCGGCGGCTCCGTCTTTGGGGGGCTCCGGAGGCACTTTGGGGCGCTCGACCCCCCTTCGCCTGCGTTTTTTCGGACAAAAGTTTCTTTTTTTCGTAATAAAGAAACGAATTCGGCTGCGCTGCCCCTCCGGGCGGCCCGGGGGCTTTTCCCTTCCCGAAGGGTGCGGGTTTGGGGAGCAGTGCGGAGCGGAGTGCGCGCCGAGGCGCCTTGCCGTGGGGAGGGGGGTTTGCTAACTGAAAGCAGGAGAGATCCGGAGAGAGAGAGAGAGAGAGAGAGCAGGGACAGCTTGTTGTCAGTATCATAAACAACCAAAATGGAGGGAGAACTGAGGCATATAACAAAATAAAAATCGGAAAAAAATGCCAAAAAATACCTAAAAATCGGGGCTGCGCCCCCTTTTCCTCCTCAAGGTAACAGAATAAAACTCGGGTCTTCCTGAGCCTGTTTTAAGGTTTCAGGGAGCAAGGAGTTAATATTTATTATTTTTTTTTGTTGATGAATTCTTTGGAAAGGCAAAAGCCACTTATAACTCGCCACCGACAATGAGAAAACGTGAAAATCCCTTTCAGGAGAGAGAGGTAGGGGGAGATGATAGTGCAGAAAGTGCATAACTTTGGGGCAGTGTGGAGTGATCCTAGATAAGATAAATGCTGCGTTTGCTGCTTCATAACTTCCCTTTCTAAGGCTTTTCTTGTATGTTTGGGGGATTTTGGGAGGCGGGGGCTCTCTCCTTCCCCTTTGCCTTTTATTTTCCTCCTCCTTTTCGCTTTTCGGAGCAGAATGCAATGCCTTTGTAGTGTCACTTTCCTGATCTGATTAGGATGTGTGAAGCAGAGAGTAAACCTTTCCGGTTTGTACCGTGCAGTTCTCGTTGCCTCCCAATTTGGAGCTTTCCTGGTGGCTCCCTCCTCTATTTAAAGTGGATTCCTCAGAGGAGCCTGGGCTTGAGGTAATGCTCCACAGGGAGAGCCCCGATGCCCAGGGTGAGGGCACCTCTGCTGCGCCTGGGTGCTGATTTCCCTGGCAGGCTCCATTCACCTGCTCGCGTCCTGCCAGGAGGGGCTTCGGCGCTCTCCCCGTTTTATTTATATAAAATAATGATGCCTCATCTCGCCTCACGTTGAAGTTAATGCGAAAGTGCTGCTGATGTTGGTTCCACGTGGGATCAGGGACATAGCAGGGCATTTTAAAGAGACAGCTGCTGTTTTCCTGGAGTTATCATCACTTCTGCCTCTACCAGAGGGATGACTTGGAATTTTTTTTCCTTTTTTTTTTTTTTTTTAATGGAAAAGTATTAAATCAGCCCTGATATGATAAATTAATGCAACTCTGTGTGGGGGGGTAAACATGCAGATTGGTTGGGATTAAAGCATTTCTCTTGTGTATAGCAGGTCTTCAGGGGAGTTTTCTGGTGTGTTAATTAAAATGCTGTGTTTTGGAGAATGCTTTTTGGAATGGATGTTGCAGAAATGAAATAGTTTAAGGTTGTTAATATTAAAACCTAGTGGTGTCCCGCCTGCTCTGAG